CTATAACAATCTGTGTACAATATGCAGCAGGTGGCCACTTGGTTTTACAGTATGTAAGCTTCAACCACTGCTTAATGCCAGCACAGCCCTTGAACAAACAATACAGAAAGGACCTGAAGAACCTAAGAGGGGTGACTTGTGCCAGTGCTACAACACATACATTTCCCCACCCTTTGCCAAGCAGGAACAATTCTACCGTACAAACTGGACCATTAAACATTTTTAGTTTACAGGAGAAAAGCTTCTCTGTACCACCCTGTGGTAAAAAGTCTGCCTGCAACTGGGCATTGTGTAGGAGAGCATCCCTGCTCCTGTTAAACTTCAAGGCAAGGCGTTGGCCCTCCTCCACCATCTCACAGTTAGCAATGTCAGCCTAGGCTAGCTCCCCTCAATCAAAAGAACCCCAGAAGTCCCTCTGCTCTCTACTTCACTGCACAAGCACATGCGAAAGGCAGAAATAACCTACCATGCATGAGTTGAAAATGCTTCTGCAATGCTACAAGCACCTTGATACCTAACAGCAGACCACTGCACCACTGGTGCCCTGGGAGCAACAGCACACAATCACACTAGGTTTGTATTACAACTTGTATGCAATTATCTGCACCACAACACTTTCAAAACTTTGCATGCCTGGAGAATAGCATACGGTGTATTTAAACAGACATTGTTCTCCACATCTGTAGAAACACAATTTGCTCAAAAAAAAAACCAAAAAAACCAACAAACAACCAAACAAATTACACACATTCTGAGATGGGGCAAACTAGCACTTCAACTTTAAACACAAGACAGAGCTTTTGATTGGTGGGGTATTAAAAAAGGAGCTTAATAGCTTCACAGTTATATGCCACAATATAGAAGCATCCTTTCTTCCAAGAGCTGCCATTTGCTTACATTTAAGATAGTAAAAGTGACATAATAAAACAAAATGCTTAAGAATTAAACCAAAGCCTTTTTCTTCCCCTTTTTCTCAGATGTATAGAATGGTAAAGACAAAATCATTTAAATCATTTCCTTAGTAATACAAGTAATATTTAAATAGATTTAATAGTGCTGCTCCAAACCAATGAATTATGAGTTTAAAACCTATTAAAATGTAATGTTTTTTTCCTGAGCTGAGGGGAGAGAGATTTAAATCCACTGAATTTTAATATTTCAGCTTGAGCTGCAGGAGGTAGAGAAAGTCCAAATGAACTATTCCATCAGCACCATTCAAGCATGAACATTTTAATCAGTTTTACTTCCTTGGAGTTCTCTAACACAGTTTACGCTGTCATTCTGAAAGCACTTAACACAGAGAGTGTGAAAAACCACCAAGGCTTGTTATTGCCTTTACAATTGATGGCAAATAATTTCGCAGACTTCCTATCATTAAAATGTCACTACTAAAAATTGAGGTTCAGCATTTCTTGTGCTAAACTGCATTTTCTTTGAACACCATCACATACCTGTTCTTAAGTTTCTGGTGCATTTATCTCTCTTGTGATAAACATACACATAAGCAGCCTCCATTTCTTTCTTAGTACCCAAACACAGTTGAAAGCCAACTATTTTAAAACCAACTATTTTAAAACAGAAAAACATACTCTGGTAAAATTCTTATACAAGTTAATTCCATGGTTCCCTTCAACCGCATTCACACAGCAAGTTCCTATTATATAGTACAGTGGATTAAAAAAAAAAAACAAAAACATTTTAAGACATTATGACTCAGAATAATAATACAGTAAATGAAAACATCATTCCTAATTAGATCTTACTGCTGATTTAAGGCTACAATTTGTGCACTGTTCAAAGAGTGTGATCTTGCAGTTTCCAATTTAAAAGCACGGCAGCTATGACACTTGAGAAGACCAACTGGGTGCACCGTATTGCTCACACCTTTGCACCCAACCTGGAAAGGAACAGCTGAGTGTGCGCTACAACTCCTCCAAGCAAAAATTCTATTCCATGCTGCCCATGGCAAATATCAGATGCAGATTTACAATCCTCTTGCAGCATGCTTATGACACATAGTTTTGGGTTAGTTTTTCTCATTGTATCTCTCAAAAAGAAGATGGATTATATTTAACTTGTTTCAGTCCGTCAACAGCTTTAAACTGAACATGACCTGTGAAAGAAGTCATTATAACTGTGTTTCATTCCATTAAACACAACGAGTTTATTGTCAGGAGAACAAGCAATCTCTCCGGGTTCCAGGCTCACTTCAGTATTTTGCATTTAAACTGCACGGATCAGTGATTTGGTTCATTTACCAATGAAGATAGAATAATATTGCAAAGTTAAAAAGGTGCTTCATCAGATTCCATTAAATCAGAGAACATTCATATAAAAATATGTATGTAAAATACAAAGAGAGACATGATTTGTGTACATTCAATTCTGTTCTTGTGCCAAACTCTATTCCAGCAAAATCCATTTTAAACTCCGGCTGTTGCTCCTCCACTCAAACGAGAGTAGTTCTGAGTCAAGGGAACACACAGGCCCCAAACACAAAGGATTTTTTACAACATTTATATTTCAAAAACTCATGATATTGCTTATGTTTTCTTCCACTATACATCTCAATGGGAAATTAAAAGAAGTTTATTTAGAGAGGTTTTAAAGAGCAAGCAAACATTAGAAGCTTTTAAAATATCACAGTGTTAAAAGAACATGAACTCTGTCAGACTTATCCAAGAACAAAAGAATATAATTCAACATAATTAGAGCCATGATATCTAATTATGTTTTTTTTTTTCTTTTATCAGTACTCACAAAATATGACAAGACTCTTTTAGTCCCACGCTACGTTTTCAGACTCTAAATCTATCGAAGTTCAGATGTAAAATTATTACAGGTGTTCACAGAACTAGAACTTAAGATCTTCTGATAACCTGCTATTCTATTTATTCAGCTTTATTTTTTTTTAATGAATTTCCTTAAAACTGAATTCGATTACTTCCCCTTAACTGTGCAGAACATGGCATTTTAGTCAGCACTGCTCCCATTTCTCTAAAAATGAAGAGAGATGCTACGCAGCATTTCCTAAATCAACATAAAACAAGAGTGGAAAAAGGAAGTACTGAAAGCTAAAATCACCCTTCTGAGGGAGATGAAAGCTATCCTATTTTAATGCACAGAAACAAACTTCAGACATTATAAAAATTTCCAGCGATGGAATCTCAATTGTCTTGAAAAGATAAATTCAGACAGCAAAATACAAAATTTTCTTCCGTCTGGTGGGAGCAAACCAAGAGAAGTAACTGCGAGGCTCCCAGACAAGCATCCAATCTTTTTATATCTATTCTGAGTAGTTTAGCGATTCATGAAAACAGGATAAACTTAAATAACAAGTGCAATAGGCTCTACATCAATAAACTTTTCTCATCCCTAAGATGCAAATTACTTTTCACAGTCTCCCTAATGCAAAACTGAATGACAAAAATGTACACAAACAGACTGCGAAGTATTCATGTGCATGCGTATGTGTACACACACGCACACAGACAAAATGGTATGTGCACACACAGCAACACTACACACACGCACAGCAGACACACAAAAACTTCTACAACAAAGAAACCAACCTTTAGCTGCTTACTTTATGCAAAGAATGTTAATAGAAGGCAATATTTTTGGTTAGGTAATGAAAACTAATTGGCAAATTATTCATCTCCCACTTTCCCCACTGGAGCGTAAAAGACGTACAACAAATGTTATTCATGATTCTACACGACTCGCTCTGATTCACCTCCTTCTTTCTAACGGGCACTTCAGAGGAAATAAAGGTTACTCTTTTCCATTTATATCTTCTAATTGACTACCAGTGTTTTCTCGTGGTCAGATGGATACAAAACAGAGTTAGAAACAGACTATTAAAAACAAGCTACAATCAGACCACTGCTCTACACTACTGTCAGCAATGATCAGAGAGTCCTGATTTCCTTGTTAAAAGACAGAGGCATAATTGAAGCAATATCTTCACTTCAGATTGATTATTCTGCGACCCTTATCCACATCTTCACTCAGCAATTTGAATTTTAATGAAAGTAAATGGAATAATTAGCATTTCAAAGTGTGTTTGATACACTGAAAAAAAAAAAAAAAAAAAAAAAAGGAAAAGACTTTTATGTATAATCTATACACAAAAGAAAAAGCATTTGGGAGGGGGCAGAATATGGGAAGTACAGTTGTAGCGTCTTCATTAGAATAACTTAAACAACTGCTTGCACCAGCTGCATAATTATACACATGAATAATGTGCTATTAAGCTATGACTCCTCACCTTTATTTTATGTAGTGGGAACAGCCATAGCTTTTGTTACTATGCTTTTCCTACCAGTTATAAAATGTAAACACTGTGGCTGCCCACACCCATAAAGCTTGCAGGGGTTCCACACTGAGCCCATACCACCAGTAGTAAAGCTTTTACAAGAGAGGCTGCACACACACATATGTTCGGACCAGGGAAGGGATATTTTGCTGTATGTTGTTTCCAAGATTTTTTTGTTATAAAAGTAACCAAATTATTTTGCAAAGTAAATATGAATGTGTGGTGAATATTCTCATGTGCTTTTCTGCACGGTAGTCTGAGAAGCAGCAAAGGGAACAATTCCTCATTGAGGCTTAGTGTGCCGTACAAAAGCTGTTAGCATGGTGCAGAAGCAGACTAGCAGGCAGTATACAAAGGAAGCAACGTGACTTAAAAGAAAACAATCCGTCTTCAAAGAAAATAATCTGATTTAAAAGAAAAATATCCGTCCAACTTCAGGGAATGGATACAACACAGGCATTAACCTATTTGTTTACTCTACACACTACAAACAACATTTTCAGGCAGTAGCCAGCTTTTATCAAGATCAAGCTACTGACCTTCTCCACTGCCCCCAACTTTAACCAATTGATGGGAATGGAAGGAAAAGGAAGGGAAGGGGAGAGGAAGGGAGGGAAGGGAAGGAAAGGGAAAAGAAGCTTTTTATAAATGCTATTAGAGCTGAAATGGAAAGACCACATACCCCAATGATTGCGTTCAGTTCTGCCATGGTCACTTGCTTGGCACGCTCCACAGCCTGCACCACTTGTTGCTGGTGCTACAAATGAAGATCAGAAACAGAATAAAATTATTTGTTTTCTAAATTATTATGCGTTTTTTTTGTTGTTGTTGTTGTTTTTTCCTTTTTCCTTTTTTACTTTTCAATCACACATTTGAAATGATTGTTCTCTAACAGTCAAACTCTGTGTATAAAATGCCATTACTTTCCTGGAATACCCTTGCACCGAAAAGACCAATTTTACAACCCATTTGAGGACCCTGCCTTCCTTCTGTTCATCAATGCACTCCCAAACTTACACGTCACCTTTAAAAGCAAATCACTTTCCTTACAGTCAGAGAAACTTCTTTATTAAAAAAAAAAAAAAAAAAAAAAAAAAAAAGCATACTGAAAATGAAAGGTATGTATTTTCAACAACCACATAGCGCCCACATCACTGAAGGATATACAGATTCTCCTCCTTGGTATATTTCAAAGCAACTCAACCATAAGAATGAAATTTAAAATGCCATTCACAATTCTGTCAAACATGTGAAAGAGAACTAATTATTTCAATCCCCAACACGTAAATTTTAATAGGTTTAAAAAGTCCATCAAAAACACATGGTCTAATTAACAACACAGTTTACAAGCTTCAGTGGTTATATTATCTCAGTTTGAGTGATACTGTATTCCTGAAGTAAATTCAAAATTGCTGTACACTGAAAAGTGATTGGTATTTATTTGAAAACACTGGCTACAAATAAAGTCAAATCCTAATCCTGCAGCCAGACCTGTGCCAGTTTGAAGCTCCACCATTGGCAAATTCATTTGCACATGCAGCCCTGTAGGGTTGAAATTACAATAAGAAACTGGTGCAAGGGGTGGGGAGGGTCCAGGTAGAGATGCAAGCAATTGTATGCTCAGTACTGGGAATGAATCACCCTTGATTTACAGCCACAGATTGATTATAGCAAACTCCACTCAGAGGAGGAAGGGCGCTGTTGCACCTAGGTTTGACATCCTCAGATGTGCCAGCTCCTGGTGCTCCCCACCCAGCTAACTTCTTTACAAAATGGGGACAGAGTCTACCATGCAGAAACAAAAAGGGCCTTGTCACTTACAAATTCCCTCTCCTAAAAGTTCCTGGGATGAGGAAAAGCAAGCCTAAAAATCCACACTTAACCATGAGAAATGCTAACCTGAAGCACAGAAAATAACGAAGGAGGTAATTTAGAAACATTCCTGGGAAGGAAGAAAATGGTTTTAAGGTTTGTTTGTTTTTAAGCAAAGAATAATTAAATGAAGGAAATGCCAGGAGAACAAATAACATACTACGGCAAACATAACCACAGCAGTCCAATTTAGGGTTTTCTAAAGGTACAGTGCTAACATAAACCAAACCTGTCAGTTAAGAGCAGCAAACGTAAAGAACAAAAAACAGGGCTGAATATGAGCAAATGTGTTCTTGGCATTGGGAAAAAAGACTGCAATGAGTGGTGTATCGCCATCACGGATAACCATTAAAAAGAAAACTGCAATTCTCAAGCCTCAAGTTCCTGATGATGCATTATCATCTCCAGATCATCACGTGGTAAGGACATATCAAGTAGCTGAACGATCAGTGATATGTGGTTTTGTAAGACAAGAAGTGACCAAAAAAATTACCCCACCATATTCAAGCGGAGGTCAATTCCACCCCAAAAGGATCACAGAATTTTTGATCACATTACAGTCATCATTGGTTTCCTGTCATTTCCTAGGTAATACCTTTTTTTCCATGAAAATAAAGACAGGAATCCAGCCCTATGTATGAGCATTCTTCTTTACAATCGTAATACCCATCTAATTAAATTCCATCCCCAGGACCACAGAGACAAAAAGAAACATCTTCCAAGGAACTTGCAAAATTCTGGCCCGAAAATCTCAACAGTGTTACAGAAATGCTTGAAATTTTTGTCTAGGCTTTGGAAAAATAAGTTGACTCTACAATAGTTCAAATGGCTCTGTTCCATTTACAGCACACACACATGCAATGGATCTGAAGAGTATTTGGGAAAACACTGTTTCATTCCAGGTAAGAAGAAGTGAATGTGGAAGGATCAAGCACCAAAATCGCTCTTTAAGATTTCTGCTGAAAAACAATGCAAGACAGAAATTCCCTAACCAATAACACAGAGCATCTTTCATTGATTCTAATAGGCTTGGGATCAAGCCTTCATAAAGAGAAAACCCATCGGCCTTGTAAAGCTGCACCTAAATTAGGTATGGTAGAAACAATTAAAAATCTCTGTTGCCAGCTGTTTTAACACTGATTTAATCTTCAGTGCCATGGTATGCACAACACAGAAAATAGATGGTCTGTAATTAGCCTTTCCATCACTTTTACCTCAGCAGAGCAATCTAGCCACTTCCAACTCCCTTCCATATCCCTGAGACCCTGCTGGAGGTACTGCCCCACGTGACCCATAAGCTACTTTGAATCACAGATGCAAACAACACACATCAATGCATCACAGCAAGAAAAATTAGAGTGGCCTCCACATCAACTCACACCTTCTTGGCATGGGGATTCCTTACTCATCAAATCCTTTGTGTGTGAGGGAATTACGGGTTTCACATCACTGATCACAGACTGGATGCCTCTTAATTTGGCAGAGCATACAAAGAGGCACACGATAGTGGTCCATGTATGCAACGTGGACCAAATGCAACATGATGGGCAGGCACCACCACAGAGGGCAGGGCAGCTGCCAGACCAGACCACTGCTGGAGTCCAGCACTGTGCTTGGGTGCACACCCTGCACGTGCTCCAGCAACCAGTGGCATCACATTAGCACCAAGCACTAGACTACCCATCAGATGGTCATGAAAGACTTACAACTAAATTTAAAAAATACCCCCAAATAAAATACTTTTACTTTTTTGTCAACTACATGAAGAAAGAGTGTTGCAGCTTTCACAAATTCTAATGCTAGCCTATCTTCTTGCATGCAATTAAATGACAAGACCACTACTTTCAGCTATGACAAAGCAGGAATTTGCATACCAGACCAGAGCAATGAACTTGGTGCCCTGCCTCGCCTGTCATGCAGACTAGTATCATTTCTCCTTTTTAACTTCTCTGTCTCCGCTCTTCATCCCTTTCTGTTTTCTGCAGGGAATGGTGTCTGCAGTTGCCTTACGCTGGAAAATCTTCTCCTTTTGGTTTCATGATGGGTAGCAACAACAGAGACCACAAGAAGGATGTAGGCGTTTTTGCAATCACATTGTCTTACCACACTGTCACTTAGCCCTGATTCCTGTGCATGCATTGCAGCATGGTGGAAAATATCTGTGTTTCTTTTTGTTGTTGTTTGGTTGTTGTGTTTGTTTATTTGTTTTTTTAAAATACTGGAGCACCATGCTGCTTCCAACAACAGGGGAGCCATGCTGATGGCAGTCAAGCGGTGAAATTCCCCTACACACATGCACAGAAGTTGGTGTTAGAAATGTCTAATTCCAGCCTTCCTCCAGCACCATTTATAAAACTCAATGCAAAAATCACAGATAATTTACTTTGCAGAAGCAAGTAAATTTTGCTATGTTTTATTTATAATATTTTGTTGTTGCATTATCTGTCTAGAGGGAGAACAGACCAGGTCTTCCTTAGGAAATAAAGCAGTGTTATTCTGAGAAGCCTGATCTAGAGACAGCATAATGAGATGATGCAGTACTGAAAACACCAGTGAGCAAAAACACATTTACAGTGGAGTATAGCACATGCTTAGAAAACTAAGAAGGATCGGCAGGGTCACTGAATCCAGACATTGCAACTCATACGAGATCTAATAACCACTTCATAAGATTCTAAGAAAACTACTAGCAATATATGCATAAATTGCTAATAAGATGTATTCCACGGTAGAAGGATTACAGATATGTGATAGCTTCCTTATACTTTCTATTTCAGCTCGTCTTGGGCAAGTCTAAGATGGAGGAAAATGCTTTTTTCTTCTCAGTCTCTCAAATCTCAGACCAATGGTTATTACCTTTTGAATAACATTCAGAGACCCTTGCTCTGCTTCTATATAATGCACTTAATGTTCTTCATCCAAACTTACTAAGCTTAAGAAGCTCCTTTATAAGATATCAATATAGAGAAGAGTGAGCATATGTCTATCCTGCAAGAGGAAAACCATCCACTAATAGTAAAGTGCTTGAGAGGAAAGGACCGCATTCGGGAACATATGCAGTATTTTCTAATGATTGTTTCTTTGCACATATGGATGAGTGGCATCCCACTGCTCTCCTAAGTCAATGTGACCACCTTGTTTTGCATGGAAACTGAAAGCTACTAAAGAGCAGGCCTTCTATCTTGTAATCAGCCTGTTCACTGGAACGGACCCTAAATCTTCAGAAACTTTTCTGATAGCTTTCTCCAGCCTAAACAATGCTTGAAGTGCAAATCAGACAACTTATGTATGTATGTGTGTATAAACACAAAAACAGTTGATATTTACCCAAAATTAGGTAACCATGATCCAAGAGCAACTCAGTCACACCAAAAAAAAAAAAAAAAGCCACAATCCAGCATATGTCATTTGGCACTCAGGATACACAGGCCAGGTAGACAGCAACAGCCACAGGCTGCACTGAGACACACATACACACCATGTTGACAAGACAGGAACCAGATTCAACCTGAAACCAACATGTCTGAAGAAATGTCACACTGTGCTGCAGCTGGTATGCCCAATTGAGAAGCAGCATAAATTAGCAGAGGAGCAATCTACAGCTTTATACCCAAAATGAATAGACTCTCACCAGCTAGATCATAAGAGGATGCGAACATCAAACTATCTACACCAGCTGCACACTATCAAAACTACATTAACTGAGTGCTAACAAGCTCCAAGCATTTACCTATAGCCTGTGGGCACCTCTTTCCCCATATTTAATAGAAGGTACCTTGAGCACACCAGTATCTCACAACATCACACAGAGGTGGAAAATGACTATTGCAACACAGGAAGTCTGCAACAGCAGCACAAATTGAACACTGATCACCCCTGAGGTTC